AAAAAAAAAAAAAACTTCGAATTTTTTTCTTTGTTTGACGTTTTTGTCCTTGTCCACTGTAACTGCGGGTACCATGGATCCTCCATAAATAAAGCAAAACTTTTCAGGAGTCTAATTAATCCTCGGATATGATCGAGTTAGGAACCTACGAGGCTGAAATCAAGTTCCATTCCTAACTTTATCTATTTATAATTACAATTCCACATATGTTTTATCTGACTGGAAGCAAAGAGTTCCAGGGCACAAAAATCGAGAGGAGCTGTGCCTCAGAAGTATCGATACATTCCAGGAATAATGGGACGGTTGCACCATGACAACTCAAGAAATTTTCGCAATCCTGTTGACATTAGGAGAGAGAAACAAGATCAGCGTCAAAATTTTGTAGAACTCAAAACGTGTATAAATGCATAATCCTAGGCAAGTATTACTGCTGTAGAAGTCCATGTTTCGCAAAATTCTGAAACGTAACACAGCTTGTCAGGAAAAAAATACAGAACCTCTTATTTTTAGCTATAAGAAAAAAACTAACCAGAGATTCACAATGATCGGAAACAAAGGGATTTTAAAGGACAAGTATCCATAACTGGCTAAAAATTACTAGACGTGAAAGGAAAAAATGCATGGTAGAAAAAATGAACTAATATTTCTAGAACAATTTTTGAAAAAACACTTCAAATGTTGTGACACTACAAAATTCCGTTAATACTGATAAATAACAGTGACGATTTATGAAACAAGGTATGCACAAATAAATGCAATTTTTTTTACATTTTTTAGGAGACTGAAAAAATAACAGAATTTCACCGAGCGGTTGATAGCTGGTCCTTTGGGATGCAATTATTAGCAGCAAGCGAATCACCAGGTGACGAAGCAGCTTTAGCAACCGTAATCATGTAGAAGTACCATTCGCTGACGAGGCAAATATGTACGATGATGAAAAAAGGAGGACGGCTGATGCAGGTTTTAAAATACTTAACCTAGCTAATAACGATTATTTTTATTAAAGGGTAGCACCACTGGCAAGCTCACTAAAGTGTCGTAAAAAGAAATGCTTCTCGAAATTTGGCCCCTATCCTGCCACCATTTATTTCCCAGTTTATATGGTACCTGAACTGCTCTTCCGAGAACTAAGCTAATCACTGTAACTCTAACCGGAGCTAATTTTTCCAGCTGTTTAGCAAAATTTTGTACTACCATATAATTTTCTTATTCATCCGGCTCAATTTTTACATCTTTTTTATGCATCCGGCAGCGTCCCTAACATAATATACGCACAGTGACAGTACGGGCGGCCTTAGTATTGTTGGTATATGTTGGCCGGCAAGGCATAGCGGGGAAATGGAGCTGCTGTTATGCAGACGGTTCAGGTTTCGATTCCACCAGCTATATAACCGATTCGTCTACTCGTTTCGATTGTGAATCTGAGCGAGCATATGCCGAGCAGTTAAACCTACCATAAATCTGCTTCTAAGCAATCCTCGAAAGAGAAAGCCATCGACAGCCATAGCTTTGTCGGTGGGTGTTTGCTGTTGATAGCGGCTAACACTCAGACAATTTCACCAGTGCCTCACCTCTTTAAAAAAAGACGAATATGAAGGGTGGTTTTGACATCGTGAAGAAATACTAGTCGCTTTCTATCACACACAATATTTTAAAGGAAAAAAACGGCGAGGAAGTGTGAGGGAATTAAATATTGGTTGTGAGTGAATGAGAAGATGACGATCGGTACAACAGTCGGCTGACTGATTTTAACTTCATCGTCATACGGTATCATCTGGAAACACATACTATACATACTGTTGGATTATAAACAAACCGGCCAAATGCCTGATTATTGGTTGACATGCATGAAGAGTCGTTCTTGAGCAGCTAAAGGTCGAATCCCCGACATCCGGAGGCTCAAGTATGCCCTCTAAGATTTGTCCAGATATCTAGATGGTAAACTGGTGCTGGCACATTGTTAAGGAGACGAAACCGCCACCAGCATACTTTTGATTAAACTCTAAAAACAGCTGTGTAACGAGTGGCTACCGCTGAAACGTAATACCAATTGGGATAATTAATGCATCTGTCCCTCGTCCGCTGAATTTTATAACCCTCCGAGAAAGAAATTTTGTAACCTTTCGCGAAAAAAAAAAAAAACAATAGTTGGCCAACGCAAGGGCTGCCCGTGCGAAGATGCGTTTTTTGCATAGCTCCCCGCAGATTTTTGTCACCAACGGCACCGGTTTTTCCGGCAGATCCTTCAAGCTAAAAGAATTTCAGCCTGGCCGCCAGAACTGTCAAGAAACATCCCTTCAAAACTCCAGCCTTCAAGCCTCTCACGTTCTCGAGTAAGCAACTTACTCGGAAGAAACTTTCACCAGCCCGTACGTAGGTACCACGCTTACCGCGGGTAGGATTTGAATTCGTTAAACCCCATTTTGACAGGGAACATCCCCCTAAGATTTCAGCGTTCTAGCTTCTCAGATCCCCGAGTTATGAACTTACCGGGAAGAAATTTTGGCGGGCCCGTACGCGGCTACCACGCTCACCCGGGGGATGGGTTTCAGTGCATTAACACCCACTTGGACGGGGAACATCCCCCTAAAATTTCAGCTCTCTAGCTTCCCGGATCCCCGAGTTATGAACTTACCCAAAAAAATTTTGGCGGGCCCGTACGCGGCTACTACGCTTGCCCCTGAGATGAGTTTCAGTCCATTAACACCTACTTGGACGCGGAACATTACCCTAAGATTTCAGCCTCCTAGCTTCTCAGATCCCTGAGTTATGAACTTACCTGAAAAAACTTTGGCGGGCCCGTACGCGGCTACCACGCTTGCCCGGGGATGAGTTCCAGTGCTTTAACACTTACTTGGACGCGGAACATACCCCTAGGATTTCAGCGTTCTATCTTCTCAGATCCCGACTTATGAACTTACCCGAAAAAATTTTGGCAGGCCCGTACACGGCTACCACGCTTCCCCGGGGGATGGGTTTCAGTCTAGTAACACCTTTTCGGATTTTATGAAGAAAACAAGCTCAAGAAAAGAGAAAAAACAATTTTTTCACAGTGCAGTAAGAGAGGTAGGGGCACTTGGATGCGGCCCGAATGGGAGCACAATGCCGAGCTTAACCACTCAATGTCGCTGTCTCCCATCCCCCCCCCCCTCTCCCCCTCCCCCCCAAAGGCTGCCATAGAAGCTAGATGATTTGATGATTTTCACACTTCGGAATGCGTTAGAAGCAATTTACCATCAAAACGATTGAAAAGAATCGTCCGGCGATGCAATAAATTGGACCTTCGGCTTGCGAATGTACTTAAGCCTAAAAATTACTTCGCATCTGTCAAGAACAATAACGTAGCAATAACTTACCATGAAACCACCAGCGTGTACTGTGAGGGCTCTTGCCGCATGTACGTACATAGACAGCATTGTCCGGCGGTCGTTTCTTCTCCTTACAGGACGAAAGCATTGAAAGTACTGAAAGGCAAATGGCTTGTACGGAGAGCGCCGGTGTCCAGTCGTCGCTGAGAATCGACAAACAGATATGCCCATTGGAATAGACATGCGGATGAACAGGGATGTTATCACCAATGAAAACAACTTCCGGTGATGTGAATGGATATTCGTCCGGAAAGCGAAACTGAAACAGCTTTGCCAAAACTTATGTTAGAAATAATAAATAGTAACGCACACTAAACTAGCCGGTGCGATCATGCATTTTGTGCAATTCAGCCCATCGAACGATTGTCTATTAATGATTTT